GACATCAGTTAAACTATTTTGCACTGTGTAGACAAACTTTGGATAAATTGTGCTGCATGTTTACAAAATCAGTTAAATAATATCTAGTTTGAAAGAAAGACTGTTGTTTACAAAACAAAGTTTAAGCCTTCAATTTCAAGTAAACAAAAACATGTAAAAATATCACTTTTATTTAATATCTTAAATCGGCATCTATAGCTATCCACAACCTTAAAAATGATATCCCTCTCTCTATAGTATAGAGAGCATAGTTCCGTGTTGGAGCTGAAACGTCGACATTTTATGGAACAAATAAAATTTATGTTTTACTTTACTCATCCAAGACCCTTAGAGTGTGGTTTATCCTACAACATTAATATATACATATATATATATATACATATATATATATATATATATATATATATATATATATATATATATATATATATATATCTCAAAGTTACAAAACTAATCACCTATTTTACCCAAAATAAGGAACTATGGGTCACTATTTTTATTATCCTCATTCTTGTATCATTAGTGATACTACAAAACAACCTGCTAAGCAAAAACGATATATTAGTATGTAATGCCCCAAACTGTCCAGTAGGGGCTACAGGGTATCACAATCAGTCAAAGATCAGTAGGTATAGAGCACCATATGATACACAAGCTGAAAAAGCAAGGTACAAGACAGTCTGAGCCTTTTAAGTTGGGCTAGTATAGGTAACAAAGAGTAAGGACGTCCCTATTTGACAACGGTCAAAGGGAAAAACAAAAAAGTCATTAATGCACACTCTGAGTGTATTTTCAATCTATTGGTCAAGCTTTGAGTTTCCCAAATGAAAGGCACTTATAGCTAAGTGGGTGACCATTGGGAAGTCTTCACAATTTTGGGGTTATGCCCCATGCTAAATAAGAAGATCTAGATATTGAGCTGAGCGTGTGATGGAAACGTTCCTAAGCATAAAGAGTGTTGTACGCACTTAGGGAAGAGGTGTTGGGGGAAGTAACTTAACAGGGACATAGACAAATCACCTATAGAGCCAAGGTATAGAAATAAAAAAATCAATAATAGACTATAAACTCAAACAAAGAGATTTATGAAATCTAAGCTGCATGTAGCCGCAGGTGTGGGTATCAGGTCGGTAATGTAGAAGCCTGTCGCGCTTCTCCCCAGGTACAAAGGGATTAATTCCTGCTACAGTCCACGATGGATGACTTTACGTCAGTGCCGGGTTTTACGGCAGGTCCAGAGATTGGAGGAAGGCTGGAGCTTAACTACTCATTTTTTTAAATGTTTTAACATTACAGTACACAGTCCTGTTCCATACCATTAAGTCTACTAATATAATGAATTATTGTGTTATTATTTGTAAGTCATAGTCACGTGCTCACAATTGCATCCCGTAAGTAAGATTTCAACCATCTTTCTTATATTAACCCATACGGACAGCACTACTGGTTTTTACTTTTATCCTATATGGTTCACCTCACTATTTTTCTGCTGAGGGCTAGTATCCAAATGATATTCTAATGGTAAGGACCTAAACCACTGTACGCTGAATTTACTGGAGATGGTCTGAGCTCCACCATATGAAGTTGGCAACTGTGGACTTGTGTGTTGTATGTGCCCTAACTGAATTTACATATTTGTACTATTGGATTTCCTGTTCTCTGTTTTCTTTTATATGCATATATGAAGTGAAACCCTTCACGAATCCTTTTGACAAGAAAGAAAAATATATTGGGCACTATTTTAAAGGTATGTGGTATACAATATTTTATTTATTTCAAGACATCATCTATTCTGATTTCCAATTGTTTATGCCAATTTTATTTACCTGTTTGGGTATATATTATAGTTTACCTTTGGCGCATCCTGTCTCTGTTTTTTTCTGTTTCAAGTAAAAATTCACCCTTGTCGAGTGTAAGGTGAACCCTCTAGGCTTGCAGTGGCGAGTAACTTTTAAAGTCTGGCTAATAGTACAGAAAATTAATATAGAACTAGATCACTCAATCCTACATAAAGAATGCCTTGTTTGATTAATAGAGTTATATATCAATTTTGCCATCTATTACAATGGCAGCCTCTACCCTGTAACATGGCTCACCTATTACTGATGTGGCTGTCAATCTTTCCCTGTAAAGCAGTTTTTCTTTCAATGCTGCCATAAGCTCTTAAAGCTCCAAGGAATAGAGTGGTCCCCCATGAGAATATCTGCAGGCTCCAGTACTAGGTTAATAATATATTACTGTTACTGTGTTAATGACATGCATGGTTTGCCTGACAGTTTTGTAACCTGATATTAAAGAAGAGACGTAAGTCACACAGCTGTACACATGCATGGGGATAATAAATTCACTTAGTGGGTTATATACCAGGCCAAGTTAGCATGAGAAAATGCACATTAGTAAGAATGCTCAACCACTGAACAAAAACAGGATTGGGGAAACTATAAGGACCTTGGTTCCAGAGTTCTTCTCAACTGTAAGCCAGAAGACATCCGTTAAACTATTATGCACTGTGTAGACAAACTTTGGATAAATTGTGCTGCATGTTTACAAAATCAGTTAAATAATTTCTAGGTTGAAAGAAAGACTGTTGTCCACAAAACGAAGTTTAAGCCTTCAATTTCAAGAAAACAAAAACATGTAAAAATATCACTTTTATTTAATATCTTAAAGGACCACTCTAGGCACCCAGACCACTTCAGCTTAATGAAGTGGTCTGGGTGTCTGGTCCAGCTTGCGTGCTTCTCACTGGGATTTTCACAGTGAGAGCACGCCAGCGTCCATAGGAAAGCATTATGAATGCTTTTCTATATGACCGGCTGAATGCGCGCGCAGCTCTTGCCGCGCGTGCGCATTCAGCCGACGGGGAGGAGAAGAGGAGGATCGGAGGAGGAGAGCTCTCCGCCCAGCGCTGGAAAAAGGTAAGTTTTTACCCCTTTCCCCTTTCCAGAGCCGGGCGGGAGGCGGTCCCTGAGGGTGGGGGCACCCTCAGGGCACTATAGTGCCAGGAAAACGAGTATGTTTTCCTGGCACTATAGTGGTCCTTTAAATCGCCATCTATTGCTATCCACAACCTTAAAAATTATTTCCCTCCCTCTATAGTATAGAGAGCATAGTTCCGTGTTGGAGCTGAAACGTCGACATTTTATGGAACAAATAAAAGTTAAGTTTTACTTTACTCATCCAAGTCCCTTAGAGTGTGGTTTATCCTACAACATTATATTATATTATATATATATATCTCAAAGTTACAAAATTAATTGCCTATTTTACCCATAATAAGGCACTACGGGTCACTATTTTTATTATCCTCATTCTTGTATCATTAGTGATACTACAAAACAACTTGCTAAGCAAAAACGATATATTAGTATGTAATGCCCCAAACTGTCCAGTAGGGGCTACAGGGTATCACAATCAGTCAAAGATCAGTAGGTATAGAGCACCATATGATACACAAGCTGAAAAAGCAAGGTACAAGACAGTCTGAGCCTTTTAAGTTGGGCTAGTATAGGTAACAAAGAGTAAGGATGTCCCTATTTGACAGCGGTCAAAGGGAAAAACAAAAAAGTCATTAATGCACACTCTGAGTGTATTTTTAATCTATTGGTCAAGCTTTGAGTTTCCCAAAAGAAATGTATTGGATTCTTAAGTACATCTTCCGTGATTCTTTTTAAGAACTGGATCTAGCCGAAATGCCTCAATAACTTCCAGGTTGAAGGGGACAACAAAGAAGGAAGGGGGAAGTACAATTATTTGCTGCAGGAGAAAATGTTGCTCTTTTATTTTTGACATTGCCTTACATAAACAAGGCATTCTTACAACAAAAATTGTAAAATGCACCTTGAAGTAAGTCTTAAAGCTCTGTTATTAATACAGTTGGTAAAATCTCAATAAACAGTGAATCTGCAGTGTACGTTTTCTCCTAAGGGCAGTAAGAAACCCAAAGGTGGGTGCAGAGTTTCAAACTAGAGCTTAATGAACAATCTCCTTTGAGAAACCCAAATAACGAGAATGCAGAATGTCTGAACGTTCTAATTAACTGAAAGGGCTAACCAGCCTGGGATTTGTAAATGTCTAATACATTCTGCTCAAGGCCCACCCAGCTCACCATGAAAATAAGCATATGGATTAAAACAGAAACAAGAAAGCGACAAAACCATTTGCTTTAGTCTAAAACGAAAAGGTAAGCAAATTAACATAAAAGTAATTAAAAAATCTAATAAGAATAAAATGAAACGCACTGATAAATTATTGCAGCAACTCAGAAAAAAGACATACATTTACTGGTAGAACATGTGCTTTCGTCAAGAGATGTAACAATTAGATTAGGAAAAAAGATTAGGTTGCAATCACTTGCTATGTTGTTGCTAGCGAAGTCAGGAGAAACTGTTCAGCTTGCTATGCAGTGAGCAGCTTCAATCTTTTCTATGAGCCCTGTTTTGATTCAATCAAATAAATAATACAAAATATAACTGTACATGATGTAGTTTGTGCACTTTGACAAGGAAAAGAATTAAAGGCATTGTGGGTTAGATTATTAGTCATCCCCTCTACAGATAAGATCGTATTGTACAGTTAGATCTTAATTTTAGATATTTTTTTACGAATAAATAAATACAGGGAGTTCACACAATTATAGGGTGCAATGCATGAGTAGAACAAGTCAATTTAACCAAATTTGGAGGAAGTAATAAAGGATTTCCTTCTTTGATTCAACAGAGATTAAGGCAGAACAGGTGCCATTAGAGTGCAAAGTGCTAAATTTGAGAGATTGCTCAATTGTTTTTTGCCTTAATAAGTGATCCATAAACCAACAACAAAAAGAGTTGACAAAAGAAAATCATTATTCCACAATATAAAATACTGAATCAAAAAGTTGTCATTGTCACAGTATTTAGCTATGCTATTCTAGGTATTAATAACAAATATAATATAATATATATATACACCTCTATATATATAAGTGAGAGCCATCGTAAAACAGGTAGGTTGCAAAATGAGGACCACGTGTGTGTGTGTGTGTGTATATATATATATATATATATATATATATACACACACACACACACGTGGTCCTCATTTTGCAACCTACCTGTTTTACGATGGCTCTCACTTATATATATAGAGGTGTATATATATATTATATTATATTTGGGGAAGAGCTTTTATATATATATATATATATATATATATATATACACACATACACACACACACACACACACGCGGTCCTCATTTTGCAACCTACCTGTTTTACGATGTGTGGGTGTGTGTGTGTGTGTATGTGTGTGTGTATATATATATATATATATATATATATATACATACACACACATACACACAGGTGGTCCTCATTTTGAAACCTACCTGTTTTACGATGGCTCTCACTTACGACCAGGCGTAAGTGCGAGGCGCCGTGGGGATTCCCTGCTCTGGTGTGCAAGTCTATGTTCGTGGAAAACTTCCATAGAACGCATTGAACATAGACGAACGCATGAGAGCAGGGAATCCCTCTAATCTATGTTCGTGGAAAATCTGGTTTCCCAAGTGAGCGACTTTACTGAATGTCTAACCAAAATATAGATCAAGGCTTGGCTTTCGGTGGAGATTGATAGGAAAGGAAAATAAGACCATGTTAGACACACATTTTCAAAGCAAACCTACTGTGAAGTGTTATTTTATATCAGCCCATCACTGTATGAAGCTGCAAACAAAGTACTTGAGATTTGGAAGAACTTAATAGGAATATAATAGATAGTTCTGTTGATTTGTGGACCACAACACCAGTGTAAATGAATAGCTGAATCAAATAGAGCTGGATTGCAACAGACCGTGAGATTTGAATAACAGGTTTGTGTAAAATGGGAATCAAATGTAATTTCAGAGAAATGTACATGCACACGCTACAGCACTCTGGAAGCTCTTTTTAGAAAATAGTGATCTAGAGAACTAGGCTTAATTTATAATGAGTCTATGACAATTTCTGTACAAGAAGACATGAACATACCTGGCATTAAAACTTTCACCATCTGGGATCCCACGGCAGTGATTTGGCAGATTGGGCAGGTAGAGGTGAGATTTAATTACCTGAAACTGTCCCCTAATAGGTGCTATTATATTCCAGTCAGTCCTCTACTGCCCTGGTGCTTCAGTGTCAGGAGCTTAACTTGTGCATGCACAAGAGAAGAGCATTAAAGTCTATGGAGTATCCCGCAAGACCGCAGGATCCTCAATAGACAGAACCTATTCCCTCCAGCCATCATCGGAAGCTCCACCCAGTGTCAAAGGGAGGAAAAATACTGAGACAAAGTATTGACACATAATATACTCTTTCAGGTAATCATGGAAAGTTTAATGGAATAAGACGTGTGTATGAAAGCACAAAAAAGGGATTCTTATATTTTGCAAAAGTCTGCTCAACATGTAAAAATGCAATATGAACACATGTTAAATTCTGAAAATTCAATACAATTGCACCATTACATTTTTAAAGTGAGAATGTTAACGGAACTTAAAGCAAATAAGTACTTACACTGATAGTCGTAGCAGCGTTCTTGTCATAGTATTTCTTCCTTTCATATTTATCTCTGATGAAAAATTCCACAGATCTAGTACACATGTTAAGGAGGCTAATTCACTAAAATCCAAATGACTCCATCAACAAAACATAATCCAGTGCCATCTAGGGGTATTGGAAGTGCAATATCAGGCTGTATTTAAGATTTACCAATATAACCTCTGAGTTACCTTGGATGCAAACAAACAGCTGAAATCTGGAGCCAATTAATGGAAACACTCGACGAATGCTCAAATTTAAATAACTAGAAAGAAAAAGCAAATACCTGCCTTCCAATTCATTTCAACCAAAATGCCCAAAATTTTGTTGGAATGAATTTGCCAACCAAGAATTGTAGATTCTAATACAAGCTATGATTGAAAAAAAAATATTACTTACATCTTCCCTATAGCTAACTTCATAAGTAAAAGGGTTGATTTCACAGAGGAAAAAAATAATATATTCCAATAATTAAAACCTATTCATTAATGATATTAAATATTACTAATTTATTTTTTCCTGGCACTATAGTGCCCTGAGGGTGCCCCCACCCTCAGGGACCGCCTCCCGCCCGGCTCTGGAAAGGGGAAAGGGGTAAAAACTTACCTTTTTCCAGCGCTGGGCGGAGAGCTCTCCTCCTCTTCTCCTCCCCGTCGGCTGAATGCGCACGCGCGGCAAGAGCTGCGCGCGCATTCAGCCGGTCACATAGAAAAGCATTCATAATGCTTTCCTATGGACGCTGGCGTGCTCTCACTGTGAAAATCACAGTGAGAAGCACGCAAGCGCCTCTAGTGGCTGTCAATGAGACAGCCACTAGAGGAAATAGGGGAAGGCTTAACCCATTCATAAACATAGCAGATTCTCTGAAACTGCTATGTTTATTGAAAAATGGGTTAACCCTAGCTGGACCTGGCACCCAGACCACTTCATTAAGCTGAAGTAGCTGGGTGCCTAGAGTGGTCCTTTAAGGCAAGATTTACTTCATTTAAAATATGGTGTTTGAGAAATAGGCAATTTGTCATAATGACGTATTTTAAAGCAGTAAACAAATGGTACCAAATGAGATTGGTATAAATAACCAAATTTCAACTGGATTTTCTATTAGTAAATACAAGAAGTGCAAATTCAGATGCAATTTAGTAATTTAAACGACTACTTTGTCTTTGGATTGGAAATCCAATGAAATTTTGACACAGTCAAAGTGAGACTTCGTGATTATATGAGGGAAGGGGGGATTCAGAGCCACTTTAAGAGAAAATTCATATTGTGGGTTGATGTAATAATTAAGGATTGAACTAATTTTACATTTTGATTTTCTATTAAATTATTTATTCCACATGTTTCGAGAAACTTATTTATTTAGAACACTGCAGTTTTTACCCCTTAAAAATGTTTACATGCCACTAGGAAGAAAATTCTTAACACACTATTTGTATTAAGCTGATGTTGCATTAAAATTCCCAACTGGTAAAGCACTGTTACTATTTAGCATAAAACAACTCAGAATAAACACATCCAGAGTACAATTTTTCTTTTACAGATTGTGGCATAGCAGATCAAGGTTCTCCGATCTGTTTACTTTTGGGAAAAGCATCTGATTATGGAAGTCAAAGACTTTGGCATTATCTGATTTTTGCTTTGCATTTAAGTTTGATCATAAAAAATATTCAATTGTTTGTCTTATTAAACATTCATGATTTTGGGGGAAAAAAATCCATACTTCAAGCACAGGAATATTAAATAGGACAAAATATCCCCTAGCTGGTAAACAAGATTTAGACACTGCAATTTTGATCCAATGAAAGTATATCATAACATGCAAACAAGATGAAAGAATCCTTATAACCACGAGGTGGTAATATAGAAGATAATTTACGTTCCTGCAAATAACACGAGCAGAGAACAATTCAGAAGAAATGTTATCCTTCTGCTGCAAAGCTGAAACAATGGGTTACAAAAATCAGAAATGTCAACACCACAAAAATTATGTACACAAAACACTACCATTATGGTTTCTAATGGACTTTACAATAACTTATGGGTTGAGTGGCTGCTAGTGATTTTTGGCAAGGAAACCAGATGCACAAAGCTTGTTACAACTTTTATAGTTTATGTCCATCCCTGATCTCAATTAATATATAATAAGGGCGTTTACAGGGCCCAAAGGCTACAGTTCTAAACTGTGTGTTAAAATGTTAGTAAAATCGGTGGCTTCTAAAATCCTGGGCCTACCATACATCTGCAAATGTTGACTAGATCATGAATCTAAACCATCTGACCAGGTCAGGAAATTTTGTATACTGGCTTGCTGACTAGTGAGTCACTGTTAGATATATCAAGTATACCTGATAAATTGGCCATTGAGTGATGATTTACGTATGTGGGAGCATAATGTATGCATATTTTATTTATTTAGATGGGACTAATAATTTTACAGACTGCACTGTAGTAGAGTGCTTAAGAGCCTACACATTAAATGGGAATGGGGGCTGTATATATAATGACCTCTGGAGGAACTGCAGTTTTGAGCAATTCTTAAAGGGTTACTCCAGACACTATGACCACTCCGTGGTGTGGTCATGGTGGTAAAAATCTGTATGTGCAACGTGTCTGCTTGAAACGCTGCACATACAAACAATCTGCACTTTTGCTCTTGGGGATATTTACACTCTGAACTTAGGCAGCCCAGAACGCTTTTTGAACTACCAGATATCATTTATGTGGAAAATGATGTCTGTTGTCAGATATAATGAGCATTTTCCCACAGTGCGCCTGCACTCTGAGCTGGTGAAATGGTCTAATCAAATGCTTCTCTATGAGAAGTAATTGATTGGCCCATGGATGACGCGTTGTGAAGACAGATTTTTTTTTTTTATGAATAGAATATCCTGCGCTGATCTAATTTACATATTACAAAAATAATTAAAAGCTAAGTGGCCACAAAAAGTTACTTGCATTTTATATCGAACCATCTTATAAGACGAGGGATATTTGCAAGTTTCGGTAATTTCAATCAGATAATATGCAGCGACTATCCATAGAGTAAACTATTCACCTCTAAAATTATATAAGTAAAAGGTACAGTAGTGGAGTACAATGAAAAATATACTAAATAAAGGATGTCATGCCTGGGAAAAGAATAATGTGATTAATGAGGAGGGAAAGACTACACCCAGTGTGCACATTTGAATGACAGATAAGTGTGTTAAATCTTCTCCCCTCAAATGCTTTGCTTTTAATAGAGTATTCGAATTCTATGGAATAGAGGCATGGATGTCAAATTAAACACAGGTGATTTGCAGAAGAACAAAAGAAGGAGTTGACAATATGTTATTACATTTAAAATCTATTTTCATCTTTTCCACATTCACTGCAGTGAAATTATTTTCTTTGTTAAACGTGGCAACACCAGTGACAGCTCCATGTGCTCTCGGGCAGGTCCTGTGCACTTTCAATGACAAGGGAGAGGTGTACGACAAGAAAAGGTGTTTGACGAAAAGATTGAAATGCATTACAATTAGA